ATTGGTATCATTAATACCACAGAAAAACTCTTTCTTTTTTTTTTTTGCCTTTTTTAAACTTTTATTTAATAAATATAAATTTCCAAAGTACAGCTTTTGGATAATAGTGGCTCCCTCCGTCCATAACTTCTCTCCCACCCACAACCCTCCCATCTCCTGCTCCCTTTCCCATTCCATTCACATCAAGATTCATTTTTAATTATCTTTATATACAGAAGATCAATTTAGTATATATTAAGTAAAGATTTCAACAGTTTGCACCCAAACAAAAACACAATTATAGCATTAATTCACATTGTACAACACATTAAATACAGAGATCCTACATGGGGAGTAAGTGCACAGTGACTCCTATTATTGACTTAACAATTTGACACTCTTGTTTGTGGCGTCAGTAATTACCCTAGGCTCTTGTCATGAGTTGCCAAGGCTATGGAAGCCTTTTGAGTTTGCCAACTCCGATCTTATTTAGACACAGTCATAGTCAAAGTGGAAGTTCTCTCCTCCCTTCAGAGAAAGGCACCTCCTTCTTTCCACTGAGATCTCACTCACAGTGATCTTTCATTTAAGTTTTTTTTTTTTTTGCTAGAGTGTCTTGGCTTTCCATGCCTAAAATACTCTCATGGGCTCTTCAGCCAGATCTGATTGCCTTAAGGTCTGATTTTGAGGCCAGAGTGCTGTATAGGACATCTGTCATTCTATGAGTCTGCTGTGTATCCCGCTTCCCATGTTGGATCGTTCTCTCCCTTTTTTATTCTATCAGTTAGTATTAGCAGACACTAGTCTTGTTTATGTGATCCCTTTGACTCTTAATGCTATCATTATGATCAATTGTGAACTGAAACTGATCGCTCGGACTAGTGAGATGGTACATGCCACCTTGATAGGATTGAATTGGAATCCCTGGCATGTTTCTAACTCTACTGTTTGGGGCAAGTCCTATTGAGCATGTCCCCAATTGTACATCTCCTCCCTCTCTTATTCCCATTCTTATATTTAACAGGGACCACTTTTCAGTTAAATTTAAACACCTAAGAATAATTGTGTGTTAATTAAAGAGTTCAACCTATAGTATTAAGTAGAACAAAAAAATACTAAAAGGGATAAAGTATTAACTTGTTCATCGACAGTCAGGACAAGGGCTGATCAAGTCACTGTTTCTCATAGTGTCCTGACTGTTGAGGAGAAAAACTCTTTCAAAATCAAGGAAGATCAGAAATTTTGAAAGATGAGATTGTAAAAAATCTGTGGAGCCTGTCAACTGAAAGGACTTTCATGACCTTAGCAAGGGCAATTCTGTGGAGAGGCAGTAGCAGAGGATAGTGTTTTTACTTGGAAGGATTTTTACAACTTTTGTTTTTTAATTGATCCATAGTCATTGCACATATTTATGAGGTGCAGTGTGACATTTCAATGCGTGTATGATCACAGATCACAGGGTAGCTGGCATATCATTTTTTGTGCAGAGGAGAGCGTTCTACCCAGAGTAATTAGAAATCAAATGGTAAGAGAGAAAGTGAAGACTGGAAGGACAATCAAAGCTTGTGGGAAATTTGACTTTCCTTCGCAGGTAAGTGTTCCTCATGTGATGTCTGGAGAGTTAAAGTCATCACCACATCGAGCCAAAGGTGGCGGATCAAGTCCTTCCTCAATCGCAGGCTCTTCAGTCCTTTGAAAAGGGGTGTCCTTGGAGTAATGGCGTGATGTTATGTTGGCTAACTAGCCACATGTGACTGTTTTAAATTTAAATAAATTAAGATGACATACATTTTAAAAATTCAGTTGCCCAATTGTACTTTCAAGTTTCCAGGGTTCAAAAGGCATGTGTGACTAACATGCAGGTCTAGAACATTCCCATCAGGACAGGAAGTTTTATTGGACAGCTGACGCATCTTTAGCCCATTGTGTATTAGTGTAACCAAGATATGAGACATAGGTAGACCTCCAGTTACCACCTGACCAAAGATAAGTAGACATTCCAAATGAGGAAAATAAAATTGCCAAAGGAAGATGCCAAACGTTTGTGATTCTACTGAGGAAAATAATCAACAGTCATCTAATGAGATCAGGACAATAAACACACCGTGTAGCAATGATGGCCTGAATCACTGTGAACATTAGCTACCTACCTCTAATACTTCAGGGACAGCACAATTACTGCTGCTGGCATCATAAAAATAACATTTCAAACAAAGGCTCACAAGATGTTTTTTTGTGAAGAATACTCTTGGCATCTAAATTAAAGCCGCTGAGCTGCCTTCCATAATGTAAATATAAGTTTCCCTTTGGAATACTTCCTTCTCTGTAAGGGTGAAGAAAGCACTGAGGGCACTCTGGGGAAAGTCTCCAAGGATTGTAGAACTATTGTGTGTGTGTGTGTGTGTGTGTGTGTAGGGGGAGAGATATACCTTTTTTAAAAAAATTGAACAATTTGAAACATGCCTTCATAAAACTGGGGAAGATGGTTTATATAAAGTGTAATGTAATAAATAAAAAACAGTTTGAGGGCTATGAGCAGTGTATAATTCAAGATGAGAAAAGTTACTAGGAATTTTGGGGGACTATAGGACACATCAATATCAATTTCCATGTGCCCTAGTGAAGAAGGAGGTAGAAAAATTAACTTTAGGAGTAGGAAATAGGGAAGTCACAAAATTTCTCTGGCTTATTAAAAGTTCATGCTGTTGGAAAAAATTTCTCTATCAAACTAACATGTTCCTATTTTATCCAACAATATATATAATATAAATACATAGATCTATGTATTATATATAGATATATTCCATCCAACATACATATATATGTATGTTATATTTATTTATTTGAAGGGGGCGGGGGAAGGCCAGCGCTGTGGAATAGTGGGTGAAGCTGCCATCTGCAGTGCCGACATCCCATACGGGCACTGGTTTGAGTCCCGGCTGCTTCTCTTCTGATCTGGCTCCCTGCTAATGTGCCTGGGAAAGCAGCAGAAGATGGCCCAAGTCCTTGGGCCCTGCACCCACGTGGAGGACCTGAAAGAAGCTCCTGGCTCCTGGATTCTGATTTGCCCAGCTCAGGCAGTTGGAGCCATTTGGGGAGTGAACCAGCAGATGAAAGATCTTACTCTCTGTGACTCTGCCTTTCAAATAAATAAATAAATCTTGAAAAAGAAAGAGAAAGGAAGGAAAGAAGGAAGGGAGAGAGAGAGAAAGAAAGAGAAAAGGAAGGAAGGAAGGAAGAGGCTGGCGCCGCGGCTCACTAGGCTAATCCTCCGCCTGCGGCACCGGCACCCCGGGGTTCTAGTCCCGGTCGGGGCGCCGGATTCTGTCCCGGTTGCCCCTCTTCAGGCCAGCTCTCTGCTGTGGCCAGGGAGTGCAGTGGAGGATGGCCCAAGTACTTGGGCCCTGCACCCCATGAGAGACCAGGATAAGTACCTGGCTCCTGCCATTGGATCAGCGCGGTGCGCCAGTTGCGGCGGCCATTGGAGGGTGAACCAACGGTGAAGGAAGACCTTTCTCTCTGTCTCTCTCTCTCACTGTCCACTCGGCCTGTCAAAAAAAAAAAAAAAAAAAAAGAAGGAAGGAAGAAGGAAAGAAAGAGGCGGCAGGAGACACACACACACACACACACACAGAGAGAGAGAGAGAGAGAGAGAGAGAGAGATGGATCTTCTCTCTCCTGCTTTGCTCCTCAAATATCTGCTAAAGCCAGGCTGGGCCTAACTGAAGCAGAAGCCTGGAAGTCAATCTGCCTCTCCCATATGTGTAACAGGGACCCAACTACTTGAGCCATCATCTGCTGCAACAGAACTGGGACTCAAACACAGGCTCTCCATCCCAAGTAGCATCTTAACTGCTATACCAAACACCTGCCACCTCTGCCCCATTGTTGCCTTATCTGTTTCAGATTATTTAGCTAGACTTCCCTCTCCCCTCTCCTTCTTTCTTATTAAGATTGTACTCTTCCTTTAATCAGCTTCACAACAGCAAACATTTTCTTTGAATTCTCACCTTCTTCTTTCCTGCTTACGCTAAACTCCAGTGATTACTCAATCCTCGAGCTCCAACAGCACACATTGGTTAGGGTACTCCTGCGTAATTAACTTACTGTAGTACAGGTAGGTACATGTCTGCTCCTTAGCTAAACCATAAGCTTCCAAGTCCAGGAAGTGGATTTCACACTATGCTATGCTCATCCTGGACATGAGCCTGTTCAAATGCTTCAAATGCAGCAGGCATCCTGCCCATGACCACTTATCAAGTGATGACACTTCCTAGGCCAAATGAGTTTGTTCAGAGAGAATCTCAATAGTATAAGGGTGGGAGGGAAACATATTTGTGATGAATTTGTTTTATAGCTGTGGTTTAAGTTTTAGAGCCCAATAAAGGCAACTCTATCTAGAACTGTTAGTTCACTAGTATCTAAAATATAGAGTGCCCTTATGAGCACAAAATAGTTGTGGGAGGGATTTGTGATGATTAATAGTTTATAAGTACCGGGTGCAATCCTGCCAAAAGATAAACATTTACATTTAATAATCATTGAAAGCTTACTGTATTCCAAGCACTACCGTATTTCACCCTCAGAGACATTCCGCCAAGGTATTATTATCAGGGACCTGGACTTGCAGCAGAGAGATAAACAGCACAACCCAGAAAGAGTTGGTGCTAACAAGATTTGGAGAGCAGGATTCTTGACTTCATGCCCTCCAGCTCAACTCTTGCTTGGGTACACAGTTTTTCGGAAGCAACATTGTTATAATGAAAAGAGGTATGAATTGAATTCTGAGATTTTTTTCTGTATCACAACTATTCTGATTTGCAATATGTATACAAAACAAAAGCATTAACATGCTTAAAACGTACAAATTTAAACACCCAGCAATTAAAGAAAACATGATTCATTTCTCTTTTTATTCATTCCAGTAAACAAATTCCTATGTATCTGATTATGGTGAATAGAAACATTTGGAAGTACTTTTTGGAGCTTCTTGTAATGTACACCTGTCTTTTTGTTTTCAGGCTCAACAAAGGAACCCCCTTCCTGGTCTTAGTGAGTCTCCACCTTATGAGTCTTGATTGGGAGGTAAAGTTCCCACCCGTTCAGTTTCTCTTGGCTCTGCCAATCTGATACTCTCACCCAGGATCTTGCTATGAGATGCTGTAGTCCAGATGAAGTGGTACACACTGTGGATTTAGTAGTCAGTTGTGGTAGCGCTGTGGCATGACAATTGTGACGATGTTCTTTTGAGAGTCTCATCTTTAGCCTTCCTTGCCTGCATCTTCTTTTCCAATCCTGATTCTTCAGTGTCTCCATTCAGCTTGGTTAGACTTACCTTTCCAAATTTGCGTAAGTGGTTGTTTGTGCTTGTTAGCAATAACATAATTATGTGATAGTAGAATAAGAAAATATACCATACAAGCCATGGTACTAATGGGAACGATTAAGTCAATCTTTATATCTCTTACTTTTAGCAAGGACATGTGGATGGTTTCAAAACACGGTGATTCACAAGCCAAATAGATTCCTTTAGGTGCTCAGAGTTAATGACCAATGTCAAGACGAATGAAATATTTGATGTCTGAACTAATGTTTAGTCTGAAGATGTGGATTGTTTCCCAGGGTTGGGAAACACAAGGTATGCAGAAATCAGAGGCAGAAGAATGTTGTACAAAGAGCATATGCTTTGAAGTCACTTCTTCCTGCAGTAACAGCCATGTGATACCTGCCAGAGCCTGGCTTCTCTAAGTTTTAGGATGCTCATATGATCAATGGGGCTAAGTGCATACACTCTTCTAATTATAAGCAGAGTTCAGAATTCAAAATAATCTGGCAAACACAGAATGAAAGTTGGTGCCCAAGGCTTTTCCTCTTCTGTTACAACTTCTGTTAACTTGTGTATGTGGTAAAAGCCATTTTGCCACAAAGGAGATAATAAAGGAACAGAGGACTCAAAGAGCTGTCTGTCAAAGGACCAGGGGAAAAATTGCACATGTTTCTTCGTGTGGCCATGGGGACTCTGATTATTTAGGAGTAGTCCTAGAGATCCATGACACAAAATACAGTTTTGCTAGAATATAGAAATCTTTGAACTGTGCTTGAGAAGAGGGTATGAAAAAGCAGCCTTAGCTGGGGAGTAAACCCAGCTGATTTCCCAGCAGGAGAATTTCAACTGTTTCTGCTGTTTTCTAAAATGCCTATCTATGGTAACTTTCACGAGGTGATCGAATTACAGGCTCTTTGTAGGAAAGGACCTCCCAAAGAGGAGTACAAGGATGGCAAGGCCAGAAAGAGACGAGGTGCAGAGAAACCAGACACCTGGTTTTTCTTTCCTGAAAGTTCGGAAGAGTGGAGTGGACTCCGATGTCAACATGGCTTGCATCGGTACTGGGGGAAGTGCCACATGTTTTCTGTGTAGCAGGAAGATTCAGGGCTACACAGAATTAAGCTAGTGCTTGCTCTGCCAGCTCAGAACGGTTTTTCTATGAGAGAATATTCAGAGACGAAGGGGTTGTTTAAAAATTTTATTCACATTTCACTGCAGTGTATGTCGGGAGTCATTTGCTGTAGCATTATTTGGGAATTTGTTAGTTGGCAAGATTTCAAGGATAGAAGATTTTTTTTTCTCACTGTGGGTGGAATGTAACATATAGGGATAAGGACTTTAAAAGAAAGCTAAATCTAAAACATAATCATGAACTGATCATCTCCCCCAATTTTTCAAAATAGCCTTCTCTTTTTAAACATTATTTGTTTATGAGGCAGTGAGAGAGAATGAGCCTTCCCACTCACTGTTTCACTGGTATCTGAGAACTCACTCCAGATTTCCCACATAGGTAGAATTTAAGCCATCACCTGCTGCCTCCCAGGGTACATGTTATCAGGGAGCTGGAATCAAAAGCAGAGCTGGGTCATGAACCCAGGAATTCCCATATGTGATGAGGGCATTGTAACTTGTGTCCACTGCTAGACCAAACCCTGCCCCAAGAACAGCCTTTTTGATGTGAAAATCATGGAGTTTCAGAGTCACTATGCACTCCAAACCGTCTCCTTAGTTAGATTATGTGGTGGTGTTATTTTGTCTTAATTTATTTTAAGAAAGGTCTGTTTTTTTTCTTTATTTGAGAGGCAGAGAGACAAAAAGAGACAGAGAAAGAGAGACAGACCAAGACACAGAGATAGTGTTCCCATCTGATGGTTTATAACCAAATGCCCACAACAGCTAGTGCTGGGCCAGCGTTGGGTCAGGGCTAGGCTGGGGCCAAATTTAGGAGCAAGGGATTGAACTCAGGTACTGTGATGTGGGATGCAGGAGTCTTAACTGCTAGGACAAGCACACACCCATAGACAATCAACTTGAAACATTTTACTTTAATAATAACACTGTGGACTTTCATACACATGAATTATTGAAAACTCAACAAATCATGCTAGTAACTGTGAGTTGTGAGGAGAGAAGAGAGACAAACAGCTAATTACTACCTGGGAGAATTCTCTGACTTGGAATTTGTGGCTTATTGGTACTGAGAGAGTTAAGAAAACATGTTTCCTAATTGTGCTTCTGCACTATGGGAGACTCAGGCCTACAAAGCAATGTTTGACATAAAAATAGAGCAAGAAGAGTTATGCAGCTAATTAGAAAATATCTCTAGCTCTTGCTTTAGTGAATTTCAGTCTGAATTGATAAGAACTACTTGAGATTGTAGCTTCAGTTCTTTTATTTAGAGTTTTGTGTGAGGCTGTCTTTTATAGCAGGTGCGACCATTATGCTATCTCTTTTGATGGGTGAGAAATGCCTTCCTCAAAGTCTCCATAATTAGTATTATACTGCTTGATTTCCTCTCTCTGAGGAATACATTATTTTTTTAAGGTTATTTATTGTCCAGGCAGACCTTCTCTGTGATTTTTCTCTCTGAAGAGGTTACTCAGAATATTACCTTGCAGACAAGCAAGAAAACTCTGCAACAGAGAGAATAACGGTGTCGTTAACCTCCTTAACATTGGAGATAAATTCACACTAATAAGATAGGTACTAGAGTAGCAATTGACAGAATGAAATTCACCAGCATCAGAAGACAGTAGCCGTTGTCACTCCCTGTGCTCCCAGCCTTGTGTGGACATGGTGGCTGGGGAGTTTCTCATTCTTCCTTTCCCGAAGTTGAAGCTGCGCTGCACTGAATTAAAATCCAGCTGCTCCAGGGTCCCTCTCACCCACTGCTGCTGGCCCTGCTGATGGAAACCAGCACCACCGTTGTTAATTTAAGTCTCCATGGATCAAATAACTCTTCTCATCTCATTTCATGACAGGGTATCATGACGGCTTCACGGTACATATTCATGCCCGGACTAGAAGGAACTTTGCCTCGTTGGAAAATATTTTGTCAAGATATTTAAATGATATACTGCAAGGGGACATGGGACAGAGCAGGTGTCCAGGAGAAGCACAATAGGAGAAAGAAAAAAAAAAAAGCAGAGAGCCAAGAAAATATGGTTCCTAATTGTGCTTCTAAAAGATAGAAATCAAAAGATGTGAGTTATTTAATAGTCCTCCAGGTCATCTTTGGCCAGCCATGGAAATAGGTTTTATGTTTTCATTTGTTAATTGAACACTAAATGAAAATGGCAATAATTAATATTTTTTACTGCCTATTAATTAGGAAATTGTATCCTGTGCAAGCTACCTGGAAAGACGATATATGAGGCATGACTAAGTTGGAGCGCCGCTGTGCATTGATTATGGTCTCACACATGGAAATGCAGATGTGTAGTCATTTTACCTCATGATTAGAGGGTTTTTAATACGTTTACAGTTCTTCCAATTGTTCCTTTGTGTGCTCAGATGGACTGCAGTAATAGATTGGGGGCGGAGGGAGTTGGTTGCTTTTCTCATGATTTAACGATGCCAACAGGCTGAGACAGTACACAGTCTGAGACTCACAGAAGAATCCCTTCTGAACAGCCTTTGCAAGCGCCATGTGGGGTTTTTCAGTTTTGCGCCTTCATCCAGTTGCCAAAACATCTGGTTCAGTTTTGGGGAAATATTTGTCGTTATTTTTCCATCCGGATTTAATTACTGCCACTGGAACATTAATGGGTGCCCTGCTGGCCTAATAGATTTTATCTGTGTGCCCTCATATCTATGGAGTGTAACTGACAAATCGGAGTCCTGTTTTGCTGGGCCTTTCATAAAACAGCCACAGTCTGAAGAACTGAGGGATGATGGAATTCAAAGTAAGAACAGATAGTAGATTTATGGGATAGGGATTCTGATTTGCAAAGAATATTACTTTTGGTATTTAAGTAACTTAATATTCATGGAGAAAATAATCTGCTGTACTTTAAAATTAATATCCCAAGGTATATTTGTTGATATAAACCATAGGAATATATTTTTCAGTATTGAAACCATTGTAATATCTTTTCTATTGAATGATAGGTTTTTTAAATTTTTTCAGACAACAGGTTATTTAGAAAAGAAAGTTTTAAAAAATGGGAGTTGCTATTTATGATGCTTTCTATAGCAGGCACTACACTTAATGCTTTAAGTGTCTAATCTCATTCTAATCCTTCCAACACTATGAGGCAAGTATTATGTTGGCCTGTGTTATTGCCAAGGATGTTGAGGCTCATGAGCTTGTCTACCTTGACCAAGATCATACACTGATCACATGAAACTAGGATTTGAACACGAGTTATGCTTGACTTTGAGCATATTTTTCCAACTACAGTGCTAATGTTATACCTTCTTCATTCCTTTATCAAGCATTTGTTAAGCACTTACTGAATTCCAAATAAGGTTCTCCTTGTTGAGGATGCAAATGAGGAACAAGATGCACTTTTTGCGACTAGATTGGATGGCCAGGGTGATAGAGTTTCTGTACCACATTATATCAAGGCTTGAGTAGCCTGGTGCAGTTCCATATGCTGCCTATCAGCCTAATGCTTCATGCCTCAAAAGGCCATCCCAGTTTAACTCTGGCTATTAATAATGGGGAAAAGAATGAAATAGATCTTTACAAAATGTGAGAGACTACTAGTTTATCACCACCCAGTACTGAGTAGCAAGGCAGTATGTTATAGTGAGTCAGATCACTTGTTTTGGAATTAATGGGACTTATATCTGAGCCTTGGTTCATCCTTACCATTAAGAAGCTCTTAAGCTCTTGCATACTTTCTCCTCTGGAAAATGGGGATAGTCCTATATTTTCTATATAGCTTCTTTTATCAATACTTAAGATAATGTAATATAGTGTAGGCATAGTGCTTGCCATATAGCCAAATCATAAAAATATTATTTTTATTATTACAAAAAGAATCTCACAGGAACTACCCTGCTTACCATGCATTTTCTCCAGCCAGGTGAGCTCTATGGTTTCAACATGTAAAAGCTCCAGGAGGGAGTAGCTCGGTGTAGCTGAGTGCTTCTTCCTGTGAGTTTGAGTTCTGTCTTTGTCTTGCTCTTTCTTTGTTGATTACTGGATCTCACCTTATACTATGGACACTTTGGTTGATTTCTGGAAGTGTGCCACTATTTTGGATCCCAAAGCTGACTTGTTTTAATTGAGCATATCTTGCTCTCATGTAATTATCTTACAGGACAGTGTTTTCAGTACATTGCATCAATGGAAAATATCACACCCAGGAAACTCAAGAACATTTTCCCAGAATGGAGAGAGCATTCTCCATGATGGAAAGAGCCCAAATGTTGGGTGTGGAACAGATCAGAATTTGAAACTTGATTTTCACAATAAGTAGGTAGGGAAATTTGAAGAAACTACATTATTTTCTGAGTTTTGTCTTGCTGTTTCCCCAGCAAGAGAATTACATTGCAATACATATCTCAGGTTGTTGTGAACACGAAGTAAGATAATTCGTGATAGCTCATTCATTTCTTCACGTGCAGTGGCTGTGATTTCTTTTGCTGCATTGATCAGGGTTTTCTTACACAATAGTTGTGTATGTGGTCCAGAAATAAAATAATCAAGAATGAACTCAGCTAAGGTTATTTTCACTTCATTTTTCCATGAAAACCTTGTTGACTTCAGTAGAATGCCTGGGGTGATGTCTTCTGGAAGTGCTGGGGTTTCGTTGTTGTTGTTAATTAATAAAGTTTATTTTTAGAAAGGTTTTTAGGTTTATGGAAAGTTGAACAGAAAGCACCCATTAAAAGTTGAGGAAAACATTCCCATTATATCCTCTCACTTCCTGCACAGCTTCTCCTATTTTAACACCTTGTATTGGTATTGTGTATTTGTTAAAATTGATCAATCAGTATTGGTACATTATTCATAAATCCATTATTTACATCAGGATTTGCTCTTTGGGTTGTATAGTTCTATGTGTCGCTCCCCCTCTTCGTGGAGGAACGACACAGGACCCTGCGCTGTTCTTTTGTCTGCTCGGCCCTCCCCGGGTTTGCTGCTGGTTCTTCCCGGGTTGGCTACCGACCCTTCCACCTCCATGGAAGGGCGGTTCCCCCTGCCACATTCCCCACTTCCGCGGGGGAGCAGCACACCGCCGGCCGGCTCTCTCGGGGGCTGCACAGGTGTTCCCCTTAGATGTTCCTGGTGCATGCCGTCTCTCTCCTCCTTTATAGTCCTCTTCCACCAATCCCAACTCGGCTGCCCACACGCCGAGTACGCTGCTCTCCTCCAATCAGGAGTAGGTCCTACAGTTTATTGGTTGAACTGGAGGCAGCTGGGTAGAAGCTGTTTTCTCCTCTCCCAGCGCCATATTGTGGGGGAGCAGATGCATAGAATAAGTCTTAATTCCAGTAACTTAGTCTAGTCCGAGTTGCTCCCCACACTATGGATTTTGACAAAAGCATTATGTTATATAAATGCCTACACTTTCTCATAGAATAGTTTTATCGTTCTAAAAATTCTGCATTTCACTTATCCATCTCTCCTTTTTCTCCCCCAAGCATTTGGCAACCATTGATCTTTGGCCATTTTGCCTCTTGACCGTTTTGCCTCTTCCAAAATATCATGTACTTAGAAGCAGTAGCCTTTTCAGATTGACTTCTTTCACTTTGCAACATGCAGGTAAGTTTCCTTCACATATTTTTATGGTTTGATATCTCATTTTCTAAAAAAAAAAAAGATTTATCTTATTTATTTGAAGGACAATTGAGAGAGAGAGAGAGAGAGAGAGAGAGGTCTTCCATCTACCGGTTCACTCCCCAAATGAATGCAATGGCTGGGGCTGGGCCAAGCCAAAGCCAGGACCAGGAGCTTCATCCAGGTCTGCCATGTCTGTGCAGGAGCCCATCTTCCACTACTTTCCCAGGCACATTAGCAGGGAGCTCGATCAGAAATGGAGTAGTGGGAACTTGAATCAATGCTCGCATGGGATACTGGCAGTGCAGGCAGCAGCTTAACCTGTTACAACACAAAGCCAGCCTCAATATCTCATTTTTTTTAAATCAAAGAATATCATTCTGTTGTTCAGATGAACCACAGTTTACTCATTTACCTACTGGAGAACATCTTGGTTGCCTTCAATTTTTGGCATTTATAAATAATGCTTCTATTAACATTTGTATGCAAGCTTTTGTGGGAATATACATTTCAATTCTTGTATATTCAACTCATGTATTTGAGTGCTATTATTGGATTATATGTTAAGAAAATATTCAGCTTTGTAAGAAACTGCTAAGTTGTCTTCTGGAGTGGATGGACCACTTTACCAGCAACAAATGAAAATTCCTGTTGCTTTACCTCCTTGTCAACATTTGCTATTGTCAATCTTTTTAATTTTAGTCAATTCTAATAGGTATTTGTCAGTATAGTACTGTTATAATTTACAATTTCCTAATGATATGTGATGTTGAACATCTATTCCTGTGCTTATTTGACACCTGTATATCTTCTTTAGGAGGTGTCTGTGCAAATGGTGTGTTAATTTTGAAATTGGTTTGCTTTCTTCTTGTTGAGGCTTAAGAACTCTGTATATTTCCCATCCACTTCAGTTTTTTTTTTTAATCAGATATATGGTTTTTTAAAAAATATTTTCTCCCAATATGTGACTTGTCTTTTCATTTTTTAACAGTGTCTTTCTCAGAGCAGAAGTTTAAAATTTCAGTAAAGTCCATCTTATCAATTTTTCTTTCATGGTACACATGCTTTTGATGTTGTATATAAAAAGTCATGAAATCCAAGGTCACTTAGAGTTTTTCCTTTGCTATCTCCTAGAAGTTTTATGGTTTTATATTATACATGTAAGCCTGTGATCCATTGAGTTATTTTTTATTTTTTAATGTTGAGAATTTTAAAGTTTTTGTTTATATTTTTTGAAAAGAGATTTTTAAACTTTTTATACATACTTTTTTATTTATATAAAGTGAAAAAATGTCATGTATTTCATGTATATAGATTTAGGAGCACAGTGATACTTCCCATCCTACTCTTCTTTCCACCCATGCTCACAACCTCCCTCTTCCTTCCTTTCTTATTCTTTAATTTTTACAAACACATACTTTCAGTTTATTTTATAATCATAAGATTAACCCTCCACTAAGTAAAGAATTCAACAAATAATAAGGAAAAAACACAGTTCCTCAACAGTAAAGACAAAGACTATAAACACTAATCAAGTCTCAAGATGTTAATTCACTGCTGAGAAGTTTTACAAATGAGAGATAGAGAAACTTTACAATACTGTTCTAGACTAGAATAAATCCCATTCTATAATGTTGCTATTTTTACCTTTCTTTCTTATATATGAAGCTATATTTCAACACAAATTTACAATATTTTTTATGTTTGTGAAGGTTATTGAAAAATAGAATGGAAATACTTAGGTCTATTATATAACCCTAGTCCATTTTGTGGTCAGTGAAGAATGGGTGCTTCAATTCACACTTAAGCCTCCCATAATCACCAGTATTATCATGCAATAATGTCCATAATCACCAATATTATTAGATAATAATAGCAGGATTCCAATAGTTTCTGTGAACTATTCTGGACAGTCAAATATATTGAGTGGCTGTTGGATTCCAGTACCTCTGTGGTTGCTCAGTGGTTTTAAAGGATAAGAAGCATGATTTAATTCCCCGTGTCCACCATGCTGTAGAGCTCTGTGTAACATTAGACAGCACAGCTTAAAGCCAGAGAGCTTTTGGATATGCACAGTTGATTGCATAGTACAGAGAACATGGTAGTATACTTTCAGGACTCACAAATATGGGAAAGTCAGGATTACTACTTTTTTTTTGTTTTCTAAGCTACAGAGAAATTCACACACAGTGCTTCTCAAACTTCAATGTTCAATTTGAATCACTTGGAAATTTTTAAAATGTAGATTCTGCTTTGGTAACTCTGAAGTGGAACCCAAGATTTGTGTTTTCAGCCAGAGCCAATCTGTCCATTAGGCATGAGGCACAATGCTCAGGACACATAATACTTTCATGGATCCATGAGTGTCATTTTTTTTAAAGATTTATTTATCTATATGAAACACATAGTTAAAGAGAGAGAGACAGAGAGAGATCTTCCATCTGCTGGTTCACTCTCCATATGGCCACAACAACAGGGATAGGGCCAGGCTAAAGCCAGAAGACAGGAGCTTTTTCCAGGTCTCCCATGTGGGTGCAATGGCCCAAGCACTTGGGCCATCTTCTGTTGCCTTCCCAGGCACATTAGCAGGGGGCTGGATAGGAAGTGGAGCAACTAGGACTCAAACAGGAACGCATATGGGATGCTAAGCACTGCAGGGCGTGGCTTTACTTGCTGTGCCCCAATATTTTAATTTCTTTTACAATCAGGATAAAAGAAACTCTGAACATTTAGAATGAAGAAAAAGGCTGGCGCTGCGGCTCACTAGGCTAATCCTCTGCCTGCAGTGCTGGCACCCCGGGTTCTAGTCCAGGTTGGGGTGCCGGATTCTGTCCTGGTTGCTCCTCTTCCAGGCCAGCTCTCTGCTGTGGCCCAGGAAGGCAGTGGAGGATGGCCCAAGTGCTTGGGCTCTACATCCGCATGGGAGACCAGGAGGAAGCACCTGGCTCCTGGCTTTGGATTGGCGCAGTGCACTGGCCACAATGCGCTGGCCGTAGTGGCCACTTGTGGGGTGAACCAACGGAAGGAAGACCTTTCTCTCTGTCTCTCTCTCTTTCACTGTCTAACTCTGCCTGTCAAAAGAAAAAAAAAAGAATGAAGAAAAAGGTTTAATATATAATATTCATATGTCTTTATATTATCACAATCATGAAGTATAGGTTTCAATTTTCCTTACAGAAGAAGGGACTCATGAAGACAAAAATGCCTATGGCCCACAGAAGTCATAATGAATCCCCGTTCCTAACCAGCTCCCAAGTGATAGTGATGCTGCTGGCCAATGGACCAAATTTTGATTAGCAAGGTTTTATCAGGCTCTCATACAAGGGTGATGGGAGGGACATCTGAAACTATGTAGAATTTCTGTTTTCTCTACTAATTAAAAAAGGCTCAGAGGGCCAATGTTATACTGCAGTAGGTTCAGTCGCCATTTGTGACACCAGCATCCCCTATTGGAGTGCCAGCTGCTCTGCTTCTGACCCAGCTTCCTGCTAACGTTACTGAGAAGACAGTGGAAGATGAAGCAAGTGCTTGGGTCCCTCCTACATGGGAGACCACGAAGGAGTTCCTGGTTTCAGCCTGCCCCAGCCCTGGCTGTGTTGGCATTTGGGGAGTGATCTCGTGGATGGAAACACACTCTCTCTGCTTCTCTCTTTTTCTCCGTCTTTCCCTCTGTCTCTCTCTGCCTTTCAAAAAATAAACACATCTTAAAATAAATAAAGTGCTACTTTCACCAGAATATGTTGTTTTGCCAGTTTCATAGCACTAACTTCTTAAAGGTTGGTATATTTTCTTTCGTGTGAGCTCCCCAAAATATTTGGCCCATAGTACAAATTAACTCTTTTGACTGGTACTGTTGTCTTTAGTAGGTTTCCTTCTGCATGGCCATTCTCAGTGTTAATGTGAGATAAATTCAAAGAAGTCTTTGAAATGTTTTTCTCATTTACTCAAGAATTTTTCTTTCTCCATTAAAATAGGGAAAAAACCTTTTCCCTCACCCTATTTCTAGTAGACCTTGCCATGGTCTAAGTTGAATATTTGTTAAGAATTTATACTGTGCTTTCACATGTGTCCTACTTTCAAATTACTCTTAATTTTCTTATGCTTGAAACCTTGGAATTTCTACATTAAGGGAAAAAATTAAACAAAAATACTACCTACCAGACCAACTAACCCAGCCAATCAAAACTTGCAACTGGAAGGGAGCACTCTCCTGGACAATTTTCCATTCTCTAAGGGAATGATTCTCAAAATGCAGTCCTCAGACCTGCAGCATCACCATCACTTGGGAAACTGGTAGAAAAGGAAACTCTGGGGCCGGCGCCGCGGCTCACTAGGCTAATCCTCCGCCTTGCGGCACCGGCACACCGGGTTCTAGTCCCGGTCAGGGCGCCGGATTCTGTCCCGTTTCCCCTCTTCCAGGCCAGCCTTCTTCCTTGGCCCCGAGGTCAGTGGAGGATGGGCCCAAATGCTTGGTCCCTGCCCCCCAAGGGAGCCCCGGATAAGTTCCTTGCCTCTGCCATCGGATCCGCCCGGTGCGCTGGCTGCAGCATGCCGGCCGCAGCGGCCATTGGAGGGTGAACCAACGGCAAAGGAAGACCTTTCTCTCTGTCTCTCTCTCTCACTATCCACTCTGCCTGTCAAAAAAATAAATAAAAAAAAAAAAAAAGGAAACTCTGGGACCGCATCCCAGAGCTACTTCATCTAAAACTCTGGCACTGACTGGCTTTTATTTATTTATTTATTTTGACAGGCAGAGTGGACAGTGAGAGAGAGAGACAGAGAGAATGGTCTTCCTTTGCCATTGGTTCACCCTTCAGTGGCCGCTGCGGCCGGTACACTGCGCTGATCCGATGGCAGGAGCCAGGTGCTTCTCCTGGTCTCCCATGGGGTGCAGAGCCCAAGCACTTGGACCATCCTCCACTGCCCTCCCTGGCCACAGCAGAGAGCTGGCCTGGAAGAGGGGCAACCGGGACAGAATCCGGCGC